TGCACAAATCTAAATACCTGCCCGTTCAGACCTTTTCCTGGTACACTTCTGCAACACAGGAAAAGCGGTATCCACAGGACTTACTAACAAAAAAAAAAGAATTCTTCGCACACCACCGCAAAACAATTTTGATACTAACACACAGACAGAGGCCTTTAGGTAATGGAGAAGCCTTACTCCACATAAGCAGCCTCTCACCAAGAGCTGCTGAGTTTACAAACCTCAATTCTCAACATTCCCCAATGCTAAGAGTAAGCAGAAAAGTTCACAAAGTCTTACATGAATCTCAACAATTAGTAAGTGTAGTAGATCAATGCAAGACAAATCAGACACACACACTAAAAGCGAAAAATACAAGAAGCCAACCCACTATCATCATGTTCAACTGCCCCCTCTGGTTGCCTTCATTCATCCACACACATCATATACACATTCACACTTTTGCATCAGACTCTGACTACAAACTTTTAGGGTCTGTTGAGGAGAAGCGAAGTACTGCTTTGACCTGGGCGAAAACTCACTATTCTCAGGTGCAACCAGTACTACATTCAGCAGACTTCTGTGAAAAAGGCTCTGCTTACCTTTTTTACAGTGGCCACTGTCACACAGAGAAGCAGTGATTCCGTCCAAGCGTTCAGTTTCCTCGAGCCTCTCCTGGCTGGCTCGCCAATTAAATGTGGAAGAGAAAACCGCTCCAACCTGGGCCAAACAGCCGGGGGCCCTCACCACACTTTAATGCTCCTCAAGACTTCGCAAGTTCTTATTCAAACAAAAACAAAATCTACTATGTCTGATGCAGAATGGTTTATTGTATATTATCTGGAAACATGGCACAATAAGCCGGGATGGTCTGTGCAGAGCAGCAAAGGTTCACCAAGGTAATCCACCACTCGCTCTGAGGGGTCCACCATGCCTCGTCCATCTTTATTATTTGCAAAAAGTTATTTTTCCTCACCAGACGATGGCAATCCGCCCAATTTCAGTTACTCCCCAATACTATCTTACCCCGAAGGAAACCTTATTCTCATGAGAACGGTCAACAACCTAGAGAGTTGTTCCCTCTTATCTTACACACACTCACACACATACTCATGTTTGTCTTTCTTTCGGACGACTGGAAATTTCCACACCATCTGTCTATCATACAGAAATTACATCAACTTCAACTTCACATTGAATGTCTTTATACATTTTATATACGTAACCCCTTGCAACTATAATTTCTCTAACAATTCCATATTGTTTTTCCAGGTTACCTTATTTAATAACTATCACAAACAATAGGCCTTGGCCCGTACGGGGGTCTAACCCACGACCTTGGCGTTATTTGCACCACACTCTGACCAGCTGAGGTAGCTGAGCTTCATGTATGCAGTTGGCTGCAACAAAAAAGTGTGCCCAAAAGCAGAGCGCGACGGAGCAACATGGTGTCAAAACGCCAGACCGTAGAAGAGCAAAGGTCCCACCGAGATTTGAACTCGGGTTACTGGATTCAGAGTCCAGAGTGCTAACCGTTACACCATGGAACCCAAAGGATGATGGCCGTGGGGGGTGCCAATTCCCCAAAAGTGCTCTCCCATCCTGCCACTTCTTGCAAGGTCGTGCAGAGATACAAGGGACGGAGGACAAAGCAAGTGGGGAATTAGCTCAAATGGTACAGCGCTCGCTTAGCATGCGAGAGGTAGCGGGATCGATGCCCGCATTCTCCAGAAGGCCACCCCCATCAAGGTCTACCTTTTCCCACACTCCACCAGCAGGGAGGCCCACCCGACCCCCACATGGTCCCAGCGTCATGCGAAACACCGCACAGGGGCAAAAATCTGTATGGGCTTCCTTCCGCAGTTCACCTCCGGTGTTGCTGTGCACCCCCACATGATAGTAGCAAGAGCAGCAGCTCGAGTCTTGCTTCCTTATCCATTGCACTCAATGAGCAGCATCCTGGCTGATTTACACGTGTTTGGGACTTGCATATGATATAACCCCATAGGCTATAGGAGTCATTTTACATGTAACCCTAGTCAGATGCGACTGTTTGATTTTCTTGCGTTATCTGATGTAACACAGCTCAGAAAAAGTCATGTTTAGTGGATAAAAATTCCTTTCAGTGGCATGTATCTGATGTAAAATGAATAAATGGATGCTTCATTCACATATCTCTCCCCCGCTGTAAATATACCCTGTTTTGAATTCTCTTTGCCAAAGCATCCAGTCCAGATTCAACTGATCTTTTCCAGGACTTCAAGAGTCACAGAAGAATTGAAAGTACACAAGACGGTTTTCAGAAGTTTCTAAGGTTCCCACTGTTGTGTGTAACTAGGGTTACACTTGAAATGACCCCAATTTTTTGGCCTGTGGTCCCGGCTGCATCATATGCAAATCCCAAAGACATGAAAGTTTGCCAAGATGCCGCTCTCTGAGCGCAATGCACAGACAAACACCACCCGAGCTCCTGCTCTTGCTTCCAAGTGAGAAAATCCCACTATCACGTAAAGGGTTACACTTAAAATGACCCCTGTTGTTTGTGATAGTTACTACATAAGGTAACCAGGAACAACAATATGGAACGCTTCACCAGTATGCATGTCATCCTTGCGCAGGGGCCATGCTAATCTTCTCTGTATCATTCCAATTTTAGTATATGTGCTGCCGAAGCAAGCGGAAAGCGGCGGTAGGACTAGTTCCTATTTCACTGGCATAGTTACAGCAACCGTCGCAGTCACGATTTCATGAGCACCCCTTCATTGCCGCAATATCTAGAATTGTTTATTTGTAAAGGCAACACGTCCCCACAACTCCAATGGTTTAGTGGTCATAAATTCCTTTCAGGGGCATAAGAATTGCTTCTTCAATCACTTGTGAACAAATAGCTACTCCTGTTTACAGTTTATCCTTAACAAAGCCTAGCCACTTGACCAAGGCTTCCCAGAACACAACAGCATTTATTCTTTTTGACTTTTTGCTTGCAGGTAGGAGATGGGACTCATGGACACTATATTTTGACGCGAGGAGAGCGAGCCAGCCATGGTACTTGGGAAGCGCTGGTGTTGGCTGCCAGCGGCCACAGCACTGTTAATAAGTTTTTTTCTTTAATTGTATGTGAGCAAACCGAGTGTATATCAGCTGCTCAAATCTTGTTTCTCTATCCATTGCACTCAGAGAGCAACATCTTGCCTAAATTTCACGTATAATACAAGCCAAGCCATAGGGCAAACAGTAGGAGTCATCGGACGTATAACTTCTCTCATACATGATAATTGCTCGAGCAGGAGCTCAAGTCTTGCTTTCATATGCATTGTACTCAGAGAGCAATATCCTGGCTGTTTTTCATGTGTTTGAGACTCACATTTGACATAAGACCAACCATAGGCCATAGGGGTCATTTTACATCTAACCCTAGTTGTACGAAATTGTGGAGATGCGACTGTGTGAAGATATGTGCTTTGAGGTTTGCGGTTGTGGCTATGGGGGGGGAGGAGAGAGGCTGGGGTTGGGTGGAGTGCTCCTGCAGCATTGCTAACTGACTGCTCACTTGTTGCCAAATATGTGTCCTGTTATTAACCCCAGGGGTTGATGGCAAACTGCTGACATCAAAACCAGAGCATGCAGCTGCTGCCTCTGCCGAAACCCGGCATTGAACCAGGGACCTTTAGATCTTCAGTCTAACGCTCTCCCAACTGAGCTATTTCGGCACATGTCGCTTGGCATGGAAGTACGTCTGGCCTCGTACGATTGGACGGCGTACTTGTGCGGGCAGTATCCTGACTCTAGCAGAAGCTGGTAGGTGCTTGTCCTCGTTAGTATAGTGGCGAGTATCCCTGCCTGTCACACAGGAGACCGGAGTTCGATTCCCTGACGGGGAGAGCCTTCTTTGGCCTGTTCTTTTAAGGATAGAATGTAACGAATGTAAGAAAATAAATAAATAGATGCTTCATTCAGATATCTCTCCCCTTCTGTAAATATACCCTGTTTTCAATTCATTGAAAATTCATTGTTTTGGCTCACCATGTAACCAGGAACAAGAATATGGAACGCTTCACCAGTATGCGTGTCATCCTTGTGCAGGGACCATGCTAATCTTCTCTGTATCGTTCAAATTTTAGTGTATGCGCTGCCGAAGCGAGCAGAAAGCGGCCAAAAGTTCTTTTTGGTCACAAATGGGACTACAAATTATGGATTCCCAGTGAGACCAAATTAACAGGATTTGGACGGTGTTTGATAAGAAAAATAGGAAAACTACAAATAAAATGGGAATCTGTAACCAGAAGGCCAGCTTACCCGGGACATACGCCTTGGTGGACAGGACTCACAGGTGATTTGCCTGATGGAATCAGATGTTCTGAGCACAAGAAAGGAGCCTTATTGCTGTTGGGAAGAATGAATGGCTGAGCTTGTTTGGTGACTGACAAGGTTTTTCCTTCCCACCCCTGCAGGGAGCAGGGGTTGCATGCTGTGGGACGGTGGCGACCAGGTGGGGCGCTGGCTGCGTGGGGGAGGGGGGATGGGGAGCACGGGCACTGCTGGGATTTGAGCCCAGGATCTCCTGTTTGCTAGACAGGCACTTTAGCCAACTAAGTGATGGTGCCCCCCCCCCCTTATTTGTCTCAGTTTTGCCATTTGGGGAAAAAAAAAAGCTAAATGGAAAAAAAAAACAAGTTAATGAGATGTTTCCCCCCACTCGATTGAGAGGATGAAAGTGCAGTACTTGTTGAGAGGTGCGACAAAACGGCTCTTCTACGCATGGCTGGCATTGAAGGCTTAATCTGTGGCTTGTCGACCACTGCGCTTGCAGAAAGCACGTCGCCCAGCGTGGGGCTCGAACCCACGACCCTGAGATTAAGAGTCTCATGCTCTACCGACTGAGCTAGCCGGGCAAACATAGCTGCTCTCTGAGAGCAATGGCTCCACAGTGAGACTTATATTTCCTTGGAGTGCACCTTGAGTGCAGGGATGAAAGGAGGAGTAATAAAATGGAGCAGGTGACAAGATATCTGTGCCCTGGTCTCTGTGGCGCAATCGATCAGCGCGTTCGGCTGTTAACCGAAAGGTTGGTGGTTCGAGCTCAGTGAACCACAGAGGCTCCGGGTGATCACACACAACCAACCATCATTCCCCCACAATCAAGCAGTGGCTTTTGCTCTGATTTTTTTGAATACTTGCAATCCCCCCAAACCTGCACAAGTCAGTTTTCAAATGTCTAAAGGTGACCATCATAGACAGGGTTCCTTGTTTCCAGACTTAAGACTTTCGCTCAGTTTTATGCCACAAAAGAAAGGTTTAGTGGATATAAATTCCTTTGGAGGGCAGAAGAATTGCTTGTTCAATTGCTTGTGAACAAATAGCTTGTTCACAAGTACACGGCTGTTCCTGTTTACGGTTTATTCTAAACAATGCCTAGCCACTCGACCAAGGTTTCCCTAAAGGAAGCAGCATTTATTCTTTTTTACTTTTTGCTTACGAGTACGAGATGGGACTCATGGACGCTATATTTTGACGCGATGAGAGCGAGCTATCCACGGTTCTTGGGAAGCCCCGGTGTTGGTTGCCAGTGGCCGTAGTAATGTTAACCATCAGTTTCTTCAACTGCATGTAAGTCCTTGAAATGGTCAGTTGAATCTGGACCGGATGTTTTCGCAAAGAGAATTTTCTGTCATTTTGCAGTTTGCGGAGCAACACTTGATGAGGTTGCTTCTTTGCGTTCCATATTGTTATTCCTGGTTACATGGTGATCCAAAACATTGCAAAGGGACAGTTTCAATTAAAACAAGGTATATTCATGTCAGAGGAGAGATATCTGAATGAAGCATCCATTTATTAATTTTATATTAGATAAATGCCACCAAGAGGAATTCATATCCACTAAACCCTTCTTTTCTGCCATAAAACAGAGAGAAAGTCCTTAATCTTTAAAAAAAAAAGCCTGTATATGATGACCACCTTTAGACATCTGAAAACTGACTTTTGTACTGTCAGTTCTCTCTGACTCTTGTTGTGGGGACGTGTTTCCTTTAATCCATGCTAAGCTTTGCATATCGTCACATTCTCACCCGGCGGAGGAAGCAACTCTTTCTGTAACTGCCATTCCCAGCCATCTCTCGTTCAGCATGCGGTTTCTGTAGTGTAGCGGTTATCACGTTTGCCTAACACGCAAAAGGTCCTCGGTTCGAAACCGAGCAGAAACATGTTTTGACGGGCGGGGAATGGGACCAAGCCCCAAGCTGTGCAACTGACAGAGACAGGTGGTGAACAGCGAGATCCAACAACGTGTTAGCATCATGTCGGGACAGCCGCAGCCGCCCTGCGAATGCTGTCATGAAAGTTCGGAACCGTGGGATGCTGTGCCATCTTCAATCTTGGGAGCCCTCAGGCTCTCTGGGGACTGCAGGATGTGGTAATCCCCCCGACCGACCTGAGCTCAGCCTGCTGTTCAGGGAACCGCCCTTGAAATTTTTCTGTGCTGTGTGTCGCAGTGGTACTGTCTTGCAACAGGGACACTTTGAATAGAATAGAAGAATGCCTTTTATTGTCATTGAACATAGAGTATACAATGAAATTTGGAGGGCTTCTCCTGGTCAGTGCAAAAAACAAGTTTAAAAAAACACATTCAATACATCGTTAAATACCCATACAATACATAATAAACCCATTCTCTACCGCTCCACCATCGAAAGTGTACTGGCGTACTGCATCACAGTGTGGTATGCCGGCTGCTCAGCAGCAGACAAAAGAGCTCCGCAGAGGGTCATCAAAACAACTCAGAAAGTCATCGGCTGCCCTCTGCCTTCCCTGGAAGACATCTCATGGTCTCGGTACCTCTGCAGAGCCAGAAACATGATTAAAGACCCCTTCCATCCTGGACAGCACCTGTTCAACCTCCTGCCATCTGGGAGGCGCTACAGGTGCATCAAAACCTGGACAAACAGAGTCAAAAACAGTTTCTTTCCCTGGGCCATCATAACTCTAAACTCCCTAACATGACAATTTCTGTTACTCAATGTACCACCTCATTATCACTATCACTAAGTATTTATTACGTTTTAAGTGCATTATTTTGTTCTTTTATTATGTATCGAATGGCTTTATCATGTTTTGTATGGGTATTTAACAATGTATTGAATGTGTTTTTTTTAAACTTGTTTTTTGCACTGATCAGGAGTAGCTCTCCTAATTTCATTGTATACTCTATGCACAATGAAAATAAAAGGCATTCTTCTATTCTATTCTAAATGTCCCTGTCGCAAGATGGAACCGCTGTGAAACACAGCACAGAGATGATTCAAGAGCAGTTCCCTGAACAGCAGGCTGAGCTCAGACCTATCAGGGGGATTTCCATGTCCTGCGCCCCTTGGGGAGCCTGAGGACTCCCAAGATTGAGGATGGCACGGGATCATATGGACAGCACCTGTTCAACCTCCTGCCATCTGGGAGGCGCTACAGGTGCATCAAAACCTGGACAAACAGAGTCAAAAACAGTTTCTTTCCCTGGGTCATCATAACTCTAAACTCCCTAACATGACAATTTCTGTTACTCAATGTACCACCTCATTATCACTTTCACTAAGTATTTATTACGTTTTAAGCGCATTATTTTGTTCTTTTATTATGTATCGAATGGCTTTATCATGTTTTGTATGGGTATTTAACAATGTATTGAATGTGTTTTTTTTAAACTTGTTTTTTGCACTGATCAGGAGTAGCTCTCCTAATTTCGTTGTATACTCTATGCACAATGACAATAAAAGGCATTCTTCTATTCTATTCTAAATGTCCCTGTCGCAAGATGGAACCGCTGTGAAACACAGCACAGAGTTGATTCAAGAGCAGTTCCCTGAACAGCAGGCTGAGCTCAGACCTATCAGGGGGATTTCCATGTCCTGTGCCCCTTGGGGAGCCTGAGGACTCCCAAGACTGAGGATGGCACGGGATCATATGGCTCCGAACTTTCACGACAGCATTCACGGTTGTCCTGAGAGCCCGACTCCATGGTAGCGCATTGTTGGGTCTCCCTGTTCACCACCTGTCTTTATCGGTTGCACAGCTTGGAGTTTGGTCCTTGTCCCGTTCCCTGCCTGTCAAAACGTGCTTCTGCTCGGGTTTGAACTTAGGGCCTCTTGCATGTTAGCCAAACATGATAAGCGCTACAACTACAGAAAATGCATGTTGGGAACGGATGACTGGGAATAGCAGCTACAGAAGGAGTTGCTTCCTCTGCTGGGTGAGAATGTGACAATATGCAAAGCTTAGAATGGATATCCCGTGTCGCTGAAGTACAGCATGTGGTGTTTCTGTAGTGTAGTGGTTATCACGTTCGCCTCACACGCGAAAGGTCCCCAGTTCGAAACTGGGCGGGAACATGCGTCTTGTGAACTCACAAGGGACCCTCAGCATCCATTTGTTCATTTTACATCAGATAAACGCCACTGAAAGGAGTTTAAATCCACTAAACCTTTTTTTTCCCCCATGAAACAGAGAGAAAGTCCTACATCTGGCAACAACAAACTCCCTATATGATGGCCACCTTTAGACATCTGAAAACTGACGTAAGTGCTTTCAATTCTTCTATGACTCTTGAAGTCCTTGAAAAGGTCGGTTGAATCTGGACTGGATGTTCTGTCAAAGTGAATTTTCTGTCATCTTGCAGATTGTGGAGCATGCAATCAACAGTTGATGAGGTTGCTTCTTTGCGTTCTGCGTTGTTATTCCTGGTTAAATGGTGATCCAAAACATTGCAAAGGGACAGTTTCGATTAAAACAAGGTATAGTATAACAGAGGAGAGATATCTGAATGAAGCATCCATTTATTCATTTTACATCAGATAAACGGCACTGAAAGGAATTTAACATTGAAATTTTGTTGGCTGCTACCTTGGCCAGGTCTGTCTCTCTTGCAAAAGAGATTCTGAATCTCAATGAGACTTCCTAGTTAAATAAAGGCAGATAGATACATAAAATAAATAAAATAAAACAGAGAGAAAGTCCTAAATCTGGAATTCGATGAGCTGCAGTAGAAAGTTTTTTTTGTTGAGAGTTTTCTTTAGTTGGAGTTGTGGAGACGTTTTCCCTTTTAAAACCAAACAATTCCAGATATTGTGGCATCGAAGGGGTTCTCATGAAACCGTGACTGTGACAGTTGCTCTAACTACGCCGTTGAAATAGGAACTAGTCCCACCGGTGCTTTGTGGTTGCTTCGGCAGTGCATATTCTGAAATTGGAACGATACAGAGAAGATTAGCATGGCACCTGCGCAAGGATGACAAGAAAATTTGAGAAGTGTTCCATATTGTTTTTCCAGGTTACCTTATCTAATAACTATCACAAACAATAGGCCTTGGCCCGTACGGGGGTCTAACCCACGACCTTGGCGTTATTTGCACCACACTCTGACCAGCTGAGGTAGCTGAGCTTCATGTATGCAGTCGGCTGCAACAAAAAAGTGTGCCCAAAAGCAGAGCGCGACGGAGCCACATGGTGTCAAAACACCAGACCGAGATTTGAACTCGGATCACTGGATTCAGAGTCCAGAGTGCTAACCGTTACACCATGGAACCCACAGGATAATGGCCATAGGGGGCGCCAATTCCCCAAAAGTGCTCTCCCATCCTGCCACTTCTTGCAAGGTCATGCAGAGATACAAGGGACGGAGGGCAAAGCATTAATTAGCTCAAATGGTAGAGTGCTAGCTTAGCATGTGAGAGGTAGCGGGATCGATGCCCGCATTCTCCAGAAGGCCACCCCCATCAAGGTCTACCTTTTCCCACACTCCACCAGCAGGGAGGCCCACCCGACCCCCACATGGTCCCAGCGTCATGCGAAACACCGCACAGGGGCAAAAATCTGTATGGGCTTCCTTCCGCAGTTCACCTCCGGTGTTGCTGTGCACCCCCACATCATAGTAGCAAGAGCAGCAGCTCAAGTGTTGCTTCCTTATCCATTGCACTCAATGAGCAACATCCTGGCTGATTTACATCAGTGTTTGGGACTTGCGTATGATATAACCCCATAGGCCATAGGAGTCATTTTACATGTAACCCTAGTCGTATGCGACTGTTTGATTTTCTTGCGTTATCTGATATAACACAGCTCAGAAAAAGTCATGTTTAGTGGATAAAAATTCCTTTCAGTGGCATATATCTGATGTAAAATGAATAAATGGATGCTTCATTCACATATCTCTCCCCTGCTGTAAATATACCATGTTTTGAATTCTTTTTGCCAAAGCATCCAGTCCAGATTCAACTGATCTTTTCCAGGACTTCAAGAGTCACAGAAGAATTGAAAGTACACAAGGCAGTTTTCAGAAATTTCTAAGGTTCCCACTGTTGTGTGTAACTAGGGTTACACTTGAAATGACCCCAATTTTTTGGCCTGTGGTCCCGGCTGCATCATATGCAAATCCCAAAGACATGAAAGTTTGCCAAGATGCCGCTCTCTGAGCGCAATGCACAGACAAACACCACCCGAGCTCCTGCTCTTGCTTCCAAGTGAGAAAATCCCACTATCACGTAAAGGGTTACACTTAAAATGACCCCTGTTGTTTGTGATAGTTACTACATAAGGTAACCAGGAACAACAATATGGAACGCTTCACCAGTATGCATGTCATCCTTGCGCAGGGGCCATGCTAATCTTCTCTGTATCATTCCAATTTTAGTATATGTGCTGCCGAAGCAAGCGGAAAGCGGCGGTAGGACTAGTTCCTATTTCACTGGCATAGTTACAGCAACCGTCGCAGTCACGATTTCATGAGCACCCCTTCATTGCCGCAATATCTAGAATTGTTTATTTTTAAAGGCAACATGTCCCCACAACTCCAATGGTTTAGTGGTCATAAATTCCTTTCAGGGGCATAAGAATTGCTTCTTCAATCACTTGTGAACAAATAGCTACTCCTGTTTACGGTTTATCCTTAACAAAGCCTAGCCACTTGACCAAGGCTTCCCAGAACACATCAGCATTTATTCTTTTTGACTTTTTGCTTGCGGGTAGGAGATGGGACTCATGGACACTATATTTTGACGCGAGGAGAGCGAGCCAGCCATGGTACTTGGGAAGCGCTGGTGTTGGCTGCCAGCGGCCACAGCACTGTTAATAAGTTTTTTTCTTTAATTGTATGTGAGCAAACCGAGTGTATATCAGCTGCTCAAATCTTGTTTCTCTATTCTCTAAATTTCACGTATAATACAAGCCAAGCCATAGGCCAAACAGTAGGAGTCATCGGACGTATAACTTCTCTCATGCATGATAATTGCTCGAGCAGGAGCTCAAGTCTTGCTTTCATATGCATTGCACTCAGAGAGCAATATCCTGGCTGTTTTTCATGTGTTTGAGACTCACATTTGACATAAGACCAACCATAGGCCATAGGGGTCATTTTACATCTAACCCTAGTTGTACGAAATTGTGGAGATGCGACTGTGTGAAGATATCTGCTTTGAGGTTTGCGGGTGTGGCTATGGGGGGGGGGAGGAGAGAGGCTGGGGTTGGGTGGAGTGCTCCTGCAGCATTTGCTAACTGACTGCCCACTTGTTGCAAATTATGTGTCCTGTTGTTAACCCCAGGGGTTGATGGCAAACTGCTGACATCAAAACCAGAGCATGAGCATGAGCAGCTGCTGCTGCCGAAACCCGGGATTGAACCAGGGACCTTTAGATCTTCAGTCTAACGCTCTCCCAACTGAGCTATTTCGGCATGGAAGTACATGTGGCCCCGTACGATTGAACGGCGTGCTTGTGCGGGCAGTATCCTGACTCTAGCAGGTGCTGGCAGAGTGCTAGTCCTCATTAGTATAGTGGAGAGTATCCCTGCCTGTCACGCAGGAGACCGGGGTTCGATTCCCCGACGGTGAGAGCCTTCTCTGGCTTTTTCTTTTAAGGATAGAATGTAACGAATGTAAGAAAATAAATAAACAGATGCTTCATTCAGACATCTCTCCCCTGCTGTAAATATACCCTGTTTTCAATTCATTGAAAATTCATTGTTTTGGCTCACCATGTAACCAGGAGCAACAATATGGAACGCTTCACCAGTATGCGTGTCATCCTTGTGCAGGGACCATGCTAATCTTCTCTGTATCGTTCAAATTTTAGTATATGTGCGGCCGAAGCGAGCAGAAAGCGGCCAAAAGTTCTTTTTGGTCACGAATGGGACTACAAAGTATGGATTCCCAGTATGACCAAATTAACAGGATTTGGATGGTGTTTGATAAGAAAAATAGGAAAACTACAAATAAAATGGGAAACTGTAACCAGAAGGCCAGCTTACCCGGGACATACGCCTTGGTGGACAGGACTCACAGGTGATTTGCCTGATGGAATCAGATGTTCTGAGCACAAGAAAGGAGCCTGATTGCTGTTGGGAAGAATGAATGGCTGAGCTTGTTTGGTGACTGACAAGGTTTTTCCTTCCCACCCCTGCAGGGAGCAGGGGTCGCATGCTGTGGGACGGTGGCGACCAGGTGGGGCGCTGGCTGCGTGGGGGAGGGGGGATGGGGAGCACGGGCACTGCTGGGATTTGAGCCCAGGATCTCCTGTTTGCTAGACAGGCACTTTAGCCAACTAAGTGATGGTGCCCCCCCTTATTTGTCTCAGTTTTGCCATTTGGGAAAAAAAAAAAAAGTTAATGAGATGTTTCCCCCCACTCGATTGAGAGGATGAAAGTGCAGTACTTGTTGAGAGGTGCGACAAAACAGCTCTTCTACGCATGGCTGGCATTGAAGGCTTAATCTATGGCTCGTCAACCGCTGCGCTTGCAGAAAGCACGTCACCTAATGTGGGGCTCGAACCCACGACCCTGAGATTAAGAGTCTCATGCTCTACCGACTGAGCTAGCCGGGCAAACATACCTGCTCCCTGAGAGCAATGGCTCCACAGTGAGACTTATATGTCCTTGGAGTGCACATTGAGTGCAGGGATGAAAGGAGGAGTAATAAAATGGAGCAGGTGGCAAGGTGTTTGTACCTTGGTCTCTGTGGCGCAATCGGTCAGCGCGTTCGGCTGTTAACCGAAAGGTTGGTGGTTCGAGCCCACCCAGGGACGGCTGAGGTTTTCCCTCTGCCCTCACTGTAGGAGCTCAGTGAACCACAGAGGCTCCGGGTGATCACACACAATCAAGCAGTGGCTTTTGCTCTTATTTTTTTGAATACTTGCAATCCCCACAAACCTGCACAAGTCAGTTTTCAAATGTCTAAAGGTGACCATCATAGACAGCCACGATCCGGGCTTGTAAATCATGGAAAAACTATGCTTTTGGTAATGACAGTGTATGTGTGCATATGTGCGCAGTGTGTATATACCTGAAACAACATGAATCTTAAGGTCACCTTGGGAAATTGTACATAATGAGGTGCAACTTGAGAAATTGGCCTTGTGTGAAGACAGAGGTTGTGGTATCACCAAAATCAAATGGTTCTCCCTCTGGGGATGTTGAATGTGCACAGCAAAATGAAACAGTGAAATAAAAACTACTGCAGATAAAATGAAAATTATTGTGGATCAGCAAACTGAAAGTTTGGCTGGATCGTGTGGCGACAGTAGTCGGGGTGAATCTATAATGTCCCCGACACTAGCTGCGGGGATATAAAAAGCACTTTTCAGTTGCACAAGGGAAAAAGAAGACATTAAGGGTCATCTGGATACATGACAAAAGGTAGTAGTGGTGTTTAAACCCTCCAGTGACCACTAATACCTTGGAACTACCATTTTGCTGTAATTCAGGGAAAAAAAGATGTTTAATTTGCAGTAATTAAAAAAGAGATCCTGTCCTATGAAAATAAAGAAAAAACCTAATACAATCACATCTCATGCAGCCATTACATGGTCACACCCAACCTTACATTTGAGGCTTACATTTATCCAGACCCTTTGGTGGCTTCAATGACTTGTTTCACACTCCACAGCAGTGCATTTTGGCAAAAGCTTTCCCATCGGGCTTCGATCTGATCAGTGAAATTCTTGTCTGCCTCTAGAATTCGGCCCAGTTCGTCCATGATCTGAGTGTGTAAATCAACAGAACTTTTGATACAGAGAAAGCAGCAAACCATTTCAGACTCCCATTTTGCTTAACATTTGGACCAGCAGGCAGAAAATGCAATGTGCATCAGAAACAGGTGAGCATAACAATAAAATCAGCAAAATTCAATTAGTTGGTGAAATATAGTCAGTCTTTTCATAATCTGTTAAGATTTTAAAAGTTGTGTCATGTATCCAAGGCTTTAGGAAAAATAATTGAGCATAAGAATGACTATCATTACACATAGATATAACGTCCTATGCCTCTATACTCTTGGAATTGTCATAAAAGCTCAAAAAACTTGTAAACTTAGCTCATGCTCGGAATTCTTCAACAGTGACGATTATGTGTACCGGTCTGATTGTTTCACAGATAGCCTTTTTTTTCAACAAAACCAGCTATTTTTTGTGACCAATACTTCGCCAGTTATGTAAGATCGCAAACACATATTTTCTGTTTTGGTGCGGATAAATGGTCGATAATACATGTTTTGACGGTAGTTAACCTAGCTACCATATCCTACCAACCACCACCCTTCGCACCATGAGACAAGAAGGACACCTTTGAGCTAGTGTAGAAGCATAATTTGTAAGATCAGGCCTACCCTTGAACTAACATAACAATGGCAGGTGTACTTAAAATGATGCATGCTGTGATACAAGTAAAATACAGTCATAGAAATAATGGAGCCAACCGAACCTGGATGTAGTATCCTA